TTGGGAAGGATGAAAGTTTGACAAGAAAGTCTCACAGATATGTGTGTTTAGCAGAAACAGTTTTGAATGTAGGATATGAAGAAGGAATAGAGATGGAAGCAAGTTTTCATAGAGAAGAAAATAATTGCAAAGCCAGTCTTTACTGGATAACCAAGGAAAGCAAAAAGTATGTTAGTTAGAAAGGGTTTTTATGACTTAGAGCAAAGGATAAACCCACCCCAAACAAGATTTTTTTACCAAGCAGAAAGATAGCACAGGCAAAAAAGTCAGCAAAGTTGCAAGCAGAAAAAAAGGTCTCAGAATTTTCTACTGCAAGAAAACTGAAAAACAACTTCTAGCTTAAACTGTAAATGTACTAACTTTGAGTGACTGGAGAATAGTAACATGAATATGGTAATGATAGTTGTTATGGTGGACTATAGATAAAAGTTAAGGTATAGATTGGTTCTACTGTATTAAAATGCTAAGCAAAGAAAAGTATATATTGCAATGTAATCAAAAGAAAAGTATAGAATGCATTGTAACCCAAACTAGGGGTCTCCAGGCCTGCCTGCAGCTGGAGCTGACAGCTGTGGGCACAGCTCTGTCACCCACAATCCTGGACTGCTGTGACATCTTGGATGGAATAAACTGCATTTTGGAGAGCTGCCTGAAGTCCTGCATCTCTCATTTCAGTTTTTACAGTCTGTCACTTCCAGAGGGATCATCCCCTCTCCTGTAGAGGAAGCAGCATCTGCAGGCAGCCCTGCTCACTTTAACCCCATTGTGCTGAGTGTTGGCACTGCCATGCCCTGATCCCACAGTGACCCCAAACTGTCAGCGTTCAGGAACACAGAATCACAGAATGATTGCATGCAGGTGCTTTTATTGACGAGCTCTGGGTGTCAGGGGTGCACAGACCCAAATCTGACCCAACATGGTTTCGAGCTGAATATATTCTATATTTATATATTTATATATTTATATATTTATATATTTATATATTTATATATTTATATATTTATATATTTATATATTTATAAAATTATAAATTTATATATTTATATATTTATATATTCAATATCCTTAATACATTTATATATTTATATATCTATATATCTATATTTTTACATATTTATATATTTATAATTACTATATTTTTATTTTATTTATAATTTTATATTTTATAATTTGTATTTATATTTTATATTATATGCATTTTATAGTCTATCATTATATAACTTATATATTAATTATCAAAATTACATTGTTCTACTGTATACATTGACTTCATCCAAGCATGGATGGATTTCTCGTGATCCCCCTCAAACCTCTAACATAGTTTCTCATGATTCTTTAAACAATAATTATATCCAAACACATCTAACAAGTATATAATTTATCATATACTGACTACACAGGCGCAGTTTCACATATTCTGGCAAATACAAGGCCTAACATATTCTAGCAAATACAAAGTCTTGTTCGTGTCTCCTCCACATTAATTATTTCCCAGAGCCTACCTTTAACATTTTCCCAGGGCCTACTAAGCCTAACTTTGTCTAACCCCCCAAATTTTCTATGATTTTAAAATCTTTCCCTACCAAAACCACTCACCCCTGCACTCCGGGGCAGGTCCACTCCACGCCAGGCTCTTGCCATCGTCCGAGGTGCAGTAGAGGGACTCGTCCCCCACCAGGGACAGCCCCTCTGCACAGCTGTAGGTCACCTTGGAGCCATAAGAGAACTCCCTGCCACCTCTGCCAGAGTGCTGCCCAAAGGCAATCTGGGGAGGGGGCCCACAGGCTGTGGAAAAAAGGGAATTGAGAAAGAAAGACACGTGCAGCACAGTTAGCACCTTCAGGTGAGAGCCAAAAGCGTTTCTGTGAAATCAGCACAAAGTCCATTTTGTGGTTGGTGTGAGGCAAATTCACAGGGAGCTGCTGCCTGGATTCTGGCCTCTTACAGCACCCCAGAAATATCAGGATATTTCCAGTGGTGGCCTCCCCACTCCTGAAGTGTTCAAGAAACACGTGGATGTGGCACTGGGGCATTCACTCAAAGCCTGGACCTGATGATGTTGGAGGTATTTTCCAACCTTAATGATTCTAATTCCAGCTCTGGGGAGGGGACACCTGGCTCAGGTGGTGTCCCCAGGAGCAGGAGCTGAAGGCAGATCCCCCACTAGTGGCAGGAGATCACCCACTGGTGGCAGGAGATCTCTTGACCCCTGCGTGTCACACTTACCTTTGTCACAGAAGGGCACCTCGGGCTCCCAGCTCTGATCAGCCCCACAGGTGATGGATTCAGAGCCCCTGAGGACAAAGCCCTCCTCACAGGCCAGCCTCACCTGGGTCCCCACTGAATAGTCACTTCTGCCTTTATAAACCTCCTTTCCATGAGGGATGTCTGGCTTTGGGCAATGTGGTTCTGGAAATAATGGGAAAGAAAGGATGTTGTGTGTTTCCAAAAAGAACTCCGGTCATGTTTTCTATGGAGAAGAGCTACCAACAAATCTGAACCATGGTAGAAAAGTGACCATGCCCCAGGTGCAGGTCTCAGGCTGCCTCTGTAACCCTGAAGGGTCAGTACAGAGAATTCTCCATGCTCTAATCTGCCTGTCCTGGGAGATGGAGCAGGTTTTTCCCTCCTGCCAAGGTTTTCCTGAGTTTTTTGGGGATATTGGGTGGTGCTGGGTCAGGAGTTGGAGCAGTGTCAGTTATTTACTCATTTTCTCCTGACAGGGGAAATGCCTTGGGAACATCCCCTGCTCCCCAGCCTCATGTCAGCAAAGCAGCCCCAAACACCAACCACATCCCCTTCCAGCTGGGTAAATGTCTCCCTGGGTTCCTCAGGAACCTCCCAAGCCCCTAGAAGCTTCCAACCCACCACCCTTCCACCCTCCAGACACCAGCTCAGCCCTGCCAAAACCCTGCCCTTTTTCCACGTGGCCCATCTGGACATTTTGCTGCCTATATATTCCACATTAACCCAGGAGAAGTAGACCTGGGGCCACCTGGAGTGAGGGAAAATTCTCCATGGTTTCTGCCATGCTCATTTCACCACTCTGTCCCACCTGGAATGCACTCTGGCACTGCTGGATCCCATTCACCATCGCTGCCACAGAGGAGGGTGATGCTGCTGCCACGGCCTTTGAAAGCAAATCCGTCACTGCACGCCACCTCCAGCCTGTCCCCACTCTCATAATCCTCTTTCACTTGCCATGGGTGCAAGGGCCTTCCGTTTGGGATGTGTGGATCTGGGCAAGGAATTCCTGGGAAATGCCAAAATCAGAGAGGGTGAAACCACAGCAAAGCCAAGTGGGTGACAAGAAATTTGTTGTGAAGACAAGGACGGATGGACAGACACCTCATGACATTAAGTCTGCCCCAAATGCATCCTTGGGCTTTCCTGGGGTGTGGAATGTTGGTGGTGCACCCTCAAGAGCACAATGGGTGTTTGCCAGAGGTTCAAAGAGCTGGCAAATAAAGCAAAGCAAACTCTGCAGCTGAGGAATAAATCAAAGGAATTCCAGGGTCAGCAAAGACCAGGCAGGGCCCTGGAGCATCCCCCTGTCCCCCAGACTGTCCCCACCTCACATGCAGCTTCTTCACACACTCTGGCAGTCACAAAAGCCCCAGGCACTCACTTTCACATGGAGGTGGGGCTTCACTCCACACGAAGTCCTGCAGGCAGCTGATGTTCCAGGTGGTTTGCCCTGGACTGAACTGGTGGCCCTGCTGGCACTCGTAGGTGACCACGGTGTCCACAGGGAACAGGTTGCCAGCCAGCCTGGCTTTCACAGCATTCCTCACATCTGGGGGGTCATCACAGCTGCCTGGGGGTGAGACAGCACTTTAGGGACAGTGCTGCATCACAGGGCCTGGCATGGAGGGAATTTGGGTGAAAACCACAGGGGAGAGACCACCATCAGCGGGTACTGGGGAGAGGGGTATGTGAGGGAAAAAACATGTGATAAGAGAGGAGAAGAACAAACCATGTGATATAAACCGTTCAGTGCAATATAAAGACGACTCAGTGCAAATCTCCAATCACCCAGTGCAAAGCAACAACTAAATAAACTATTTAGTGCAGTACAGCACTGTCCCTGCAGACTCACTGCGCTGGCAGAGGGGCACGGGGGGCTCCCAGAGGCCGTTGTCCCTGCAGGTGGAGGCCTCGCTGCCGCTCAGGCTGTAGTGCAGGTCGCAGTCGAACACCACCGTGTCCCCAAAGCTGTAGTCAGGCTGGGACACACTCAGCAGCTTCCCATTCATCACTCTTGGCTGCTTGCAGGTCACCACTGTGCCAGGGGAAGCACACAGGGAAGCAGCAGTCAGGCTCCAGATGGGAGATGTGAGGGTTATGATATTGTCCCAGATTGCAAGGCAGGGTGTATTCTATTTGCCATCTGTTAGAGGTGTGGCAGTTATCTTCTGTTAATTAGGCAGTTTTTCATTATCTCTTCCACAAGTTTTTCTTTCTCTCTCCCTCCAGAGAGCCATCTGCTGATAACAGCTATTGGATGTCACTGAATGGCTGATAAGAGCTACAGCATCCCATTGGGAGATGTGAGCCCAGAGGGAGGAGCCAAGCATTCCTACCCAGATATAATCTGGAGATTCTGGAACACCAGCACAGCTTCTCCACTGGATTGCCCAGAACAGCAGCTGCCTCTTCTTCCCCTGGATCTTCAGAGGCAGAGACTGCACCTTTCTCCAGGACCCCTGCTCCAGCAGAACCAGCCCTGACACTGCAGAAGGGCTGAGCCACAATTCCAATGGGGCTGCTGCCAACAGCCTGACCCACAGGGTGTCAGGTTGGGTTCTGACTCTGGCAGTGTTGGTTTAGTTCACTGCATTGTTTATTTTATCTTTTAATTTTCTTCCCTAATAAAGAACTGTTATTCCTACTCCCAAATTTTTGCCTGAGAGCCCCTTAATTTAAAATTTATAGCAATTCAGAGGGAGGGGGTTTACATTTTCCATTTCAGGGGAGACTCCTGCCTTCCTTAGCAGACACCTGGCTTTCCAAACCGAGACAGATATATGGAATATGAGGGTTTTGAAAACGCCCCCATCACCTTTTTCAGAAGGGCTGAAAACAGCAGCAGGGTGACGTGGTTGTTTTGTAAATCTTGCCCCATGTTACAGCAGAGGTTTTTAAGGCAAGGCATAATGAGAACCCAGGGAGCAGGTTTGGGAATTCTTTGCAGGTGTTCTGGTTCACAGCAGGTGAGAGGGATCCCCTGCCCTGTGAGCACAGTAAAATCCCACTCCCACCTCCCTGCTGACACCGTGACCATGAGGGGAGACCCCAGTTCCTGTCACAGCTGCCACACTCAGAGGGTCCCATCTGCAGGAGGTGATTCCATTCCAGCAGGATGGAGGGGAGAGGAGGTTCCAAGGGAGGAAACAGCAGAGCAGGAGCAGGCAGCAGTGCAGGGGCTGGTGCTGGGATGTGGGAGCAGCTCACCTTTGCATTCTGGAGCTGGGCTGCTCCACACACCGTTCAGGTTGTCCTTGCTTGTGCAGAAAATGGAGGCCTCTCCCACCAAGGAGAAAGGTCTCTCTCCCCTCCTGGGCCTGTGACACTGGTAGGTGACAGAGTCCCCATACTGAAAATGGTCCTTGTCCATCCCATTGTGCTGCCCATTCTCTATTTCTGGAGGGGGTTCACAGGGAATCGCTGTGGAAGAAGGGGAAGATCATCATGGGAATGAGAAGAAGAGGCAAAAAAAAAAAGAATTTAATAAGTTTTAAACCAAGGATCTGGCCAGAAAAAGGTGGGAACAGGAGGTAGCAGAAGGGTCAGAAATCAAAGGCAGGTCTTGAGGAGCTGCACCAGCCCTGAGTTCTGGCTGGGCACTGAGCGGGTTTGGGATATCCCGGACTCAAATGCAGCTGCATCACTCCCAGAGAGTGAATGAACATTTCTGCAGGAAGGGAAACACAGATTAAAAATGTATTTCTAGGCTCCACCACGCCAAAATCCTGAGCAGATGCCAAACTGCAGATACCACTGAGATACCAAAATCCTCAGCAGAGCAACACAACAGACTCTTTATGCAGCCCCAGCCACATCCCAGATAATTAAAGAATAGATAATTAAGGAACTCTGCTTACCCTGACAAGTGGGAATATCTCTATCCCAGGTAAGAGCCTCATTTCTGATCACACATTCAATCTCAGAGTCTCCAATCAGTCTGTACCTGTGTGAGACAGGGGAGAGGGAATTATCCCACAGAGTCAGTCCTGATGTGTTACCCACATCACCACCAGCAACATTTGGGCTCCTTTGTCAGAATTCCAGAGATCAGAAATTAGTCAGAAAGTGTCACTTCCTCAAGGACACGCTGGCTTTTGACAAAAACATTTTTTTTAATTTAAAAAATTACCCGTTTCTAAGGAAATGCATAATCTTTATCAACTACTTAGAGCTCTGAGCTCAGTATTCACCTCTTTCCTTCAAAAGGACCCTGAAACATTGGGAATGGTTTGAAAAGAGGCAGGAGGGTGAACCTGAGTTTGGGAAGAACTGCCTCAAAGAAGGAGATTGAGACACTCACAGTCAGTCTTAAAGCTTAAAAGGTATTTCAGTCAGGGTCTGCAATTACCTACATGGGGGAGGCTCTGACTGCAAAGGGGGGAAAAGCTTTGGAAAACTGGCTGGAGAGGGAGAAGCCCTGTGGCCCAGGTGCTCGTGGCTTACCCAGCGTTGCAGGTGAAGGTCACTTTGGAACCAAAGGTGAATGCTTCAGGCACGACCAGTCTGCCATTGGCCAGCTCCCCGGGGTAGCTGCACGCCCTGGCTGGGGACAACAGGGCTCCAGTCAGCTCCCAGCTCAGTTTCTTGGCAGGAAAGCCAAAGAGTTGCCCATTTCTGAGCCAGGGGGCGGAGCAAACACTTCCAGATGTCCACTTCCTAAGGTTATTCTGTGACTCCCAGTGCTGGCCAGACCTGCCCCGTGAGCTGCTGCCTCTGGGGTTTGTTTGCAGAGACCCGTGGCACCATCTCTGCCCAGCTAAAGGACCCTCCCTCTGCAGCTCCAATGCTTTTCTAGACACAGGGGCTCAAAATGCCTGAGCAGAAGGACATCCTTCTGTCAGCAGAGTCAGCAGTGAAGCACAGCCAGCACCAGAGGTGATTTCAGCTCCTGCCATCACTGCCAGCACCCAGAGGAACAAACCCAGCGCTTCCCTTCAGGTCACTCATTGCCACCATCCCCAGGGCTCACTTTGGGTTCTGCTCCAACAGAAGGAATCAAAACCAAAAGCCACAGAATCCCAGAATGGTTGGGGTTGGGAGGGACCCTAGAGATGATCTTGTACCAAACCAAGTGTCACTGTCATATTTTCTGGAAAATCCTCTTTGCTCAGGATTTTTCTCCTGGGAAGCTGAGAAGCCTCAGAGAAAAATGAAAACAATAATTATCTGATTTGCTTCTCCTGTGTTTTGCTGCTTTGGAATATGGTTTGGACATTGTTTACCCACAGGTGCTTGTTTCATTGGTTGCATGTGAATTGTTTTGACTTATTGGCCAATTATGGTCAAGCTGTGTCAGACTCTCTGAAGGGAGAGTCACAGGTTTTCATTATCATTCTTTCCAGCCTTCTGTCTGTATCCTTTCTCTATTTTTAGTAATAGTTTTAGTATATAATTTTCTTTTAATATAATATCATAAAATAATAAATCAGCCTTCTGAGAACATGGGGTCAGATTCATTCCTTCCTCCTGCATTCAGAGACCCCAAAACCACCACACCCAAAGGCAGGGACCCCCCCAGACACACTCACGTATGCAGATGTCACTGGATCCACGCCACTTCCCGCTCACTCCGCAGGTGAGGACGTTTGAAACGCGAGTGTTTCTCACATAGCCTGGCCTGCAGACAAACTCAACCCTGTAGCCATAGTGGAAGTGCTCGATGCCCTCCAGCCGCCGCTTGGGCTCTGCTGATGGAGATCGTGGTGGAGGGGGACAGACACCTGCGGACACAGAGCTCTGTCACCACGGCACCTTCTGGAAAATCCTCTTTGCCCAGGATTTTCTCCTGGGAAGCTGAGAAGCCTCAGAGAAAAATGAAAACAGTAATTATCTGATTGCTGCTCCTGTGTTTTGCTGCTTTGGAATGTGGCTTGGACATTGTTTACCATCAGGTGTGTGAAAAGTGCGTATTTTATGATTGGCTTTTTACAAATATTCAAATGAATATTATGTGTGTTATGTTAGAAAGTTATGCTGTATTAATTTTTTTTTTTAATTTTTTTAAGTAGTGTGTTAAATATAGTTTTAGGGTATAAAATAATGTTAAAATAGAAACTATATATGTGAGATTTTTTTTTAAGAAAGGAATGAGGTACTCAGACCAGATAGCAGCCACAGGACACCTAAATCTTTCAGAGAAAGGGAGTTTATTGCTCTCTTGTCAGAAGAAACGAACTTCTTCTTGTCTCCTCAGCCCTGAAGATGCCATCAGGATTCAGAGGAAGAAGCTGACACTGACCAGAGAGAATCCTGTGTTTGAATGGAATTTATGCATCATGCATGAGGTGTATGAATATGCAACAGGTTATTGTTTTTAAGGGTTAATCCTCTGTTAATGTGGGTCCTTTTTCAGGCTTATTTTGCCCAGAAAAAGGTACCTGGACTGTCCATAACTCTTTGTTTTTATTGTCTCATATTGTCCTAATCCAAATTGTCCAAATTTTTATTACTCTAAT